GTTAAGGAATGTAGAATATGGTCACGCAGAATAAAGCATTAATATGTGCGTTATAAGTACTACTAAACAGCCAATATGCAAGTAATTGTGCATGCTATTAAGAAACAAGTTAATAGTGAGAACTGGTCCTTAAAATAAAGTGTTACCTTTTTAAAAACTCATACTAGCAGATCATACTATTTTAATGAAATAACAGACTACTTTTTAAATAAAAACTTACACTATATTTTCATTCAATTGCAGTAAACATTCAATTAAGTGTCCAAAAACGTAACATTAAGTTCACACTTAAGTATATTTTTTCCATAATAAGTACTCTTTTCAAAAGTATGCTAAAGAGTACTTCTTTTTCACAAAGGTCTCCTTGATGGTTGAAATCAGAGATATCAAATAGGAATGTGCCATATCTGATTTTCAATGGAGTGCAGAATCATCACTTGTGCCACTAAAAGAGGATGTAAAACTGAAAGCATCTGTGCTATTTGAGCAGTTTTAAAAGGAATCAAAACAGAACTTAACACAGGGTGGAACCTACAGGAGAGTGTGTTAGGACTGGATGGACATGCAGGGTTCAGTAAGGATGATGAGGATGCTGGTAACAATGGTGAAGAGGACTGAGCTGAAAGAGGGTGTGATGAGGTCAGGGGAGTGGAGAAACCATCACCAGGGTTGATCCAGAATGCATTGCCCTGGCTACCTCTCTTGCTGGTGTCGGCCTGCTGGTCAGACAGGAAGACGTCTTCACTGCAGTCGCTCTGCGAGCGCTCTCTCGACAGCAGCCTGTCCACACAGCGGATCACACACTCCAGACTCTTATCCACATTGAGCCAGATCTTTTCCTGAAGCAGAAACAGAGGAAATATTTCAGATTCTGCAGTATTTCTAAATCATGAGAAAATAATGGCAGTCTCTGAATCTTACCCACTCCTCCTCCTGCCAGTTTAGGTTCATGGATGCTCTGTTCCCTTTCCCGCTCCATTTGGCCTGTGGAGAGCCCTGGTCGTTCCTCAGGACCACACGCTCAGTGTCATTGGTGGACGGAGAGCCTCTGGAGGCAATGAACTCTGGGCGTGCAGCACTCAGTGCCTGGATAGCTGTAGTTAGCAGCTTACTGTCACACACTGTCACCAGCTGCCGCGTCTGAGAGAGACACAGAGATTGCACTTACTCAGATATGTTGAGCATGAGAATCACCTTGTAATAGCTGTCATTAATGAACCCTTTTCACATTCCTGGGGTTTTCAGAAGCAACTGTAAATAGTAAATGGTAAATGGAAACTACAACAAATATATATTTTGCCTTGTCATTCGCTCCAAAAATAGCATTTCTATGACTTTCCAAAGCTAACTATAGTGTTATAAATGTGCATTACATTAAAAGAAATAAATATAAATAAATATAAAAAACACCCCTAGGTTTATGATGTTAACAACTGTGGAAATGGAAAAGGGTCCATAATATATAAAAAACGTATTATATTACCTGATGTTTAAAAAAAAAAAAAGATAAAAAATATTGATAAACATTCAGTTCATTCGAATTTTGATGAAACTTTGATTAGTGGTGGTTCATAAATATTAATATTCAAATGCACAATAACTACTGATCTGTTAAGCATTATAAAATGTTTGTTAATGACTTAAGAAGGACACCCACTCGGACAGGAAAAGACCATCTGATTATCATATAAAAGTAATCCAAAAAAGTTGGTTTTGTTTTATGTGCCATTTAGGGGATGGTTAATCTGAAATATATCATACCACAATAATAGAGTTATAATAATATATAGAATTTAAGGTAATACAAAATTAAATAATAGAGTTATAATAATATATTTTTTTTATAAAACTACAACATTAAATAGAAATTATAATAATGTATAGAATTATAATACTATATTAAAATAAAATTAAACAGATATAGTTATAAAACTAAAAAAAAAAAAAAAAAACAGAATTGTAATAATATATAATTACATTTATAATAATACAATTAAATTATTTTATGAAAAATTTTTAATTGTATTTTTTAAATTAAATTGTACATAAAAATGTTAATGTGTTGTAGTCTCTGTGAATGGTCATACAGAAAACCCAGAATAGTAGTGCAGAATGGGTTTAGAATTTGTGCTCAGAATTTCTATATTTCCAATAGTAATAAATTCAAGTTATTTCAGACATAAACAATGGCAAATATATAGCTCTGCTTGCTAATAACTAGTCTAATTGCTAGTTTAAGTGCCTCAAGCAAAACTCAGAATATCTTTAAAAGAGTTGTACTGTTTGCCAATTAGAATGGACTGTGGATTTCAGCCAGCTCTTGGCAGTTTAGTGTGAAATATGCATTAGATGGTTAGTGAACAGACTGTAAATGGTTCATACAAATCCTCTCACCTTGTCTGTGAGGATAGCAAGGGTCCTTTCTAGTGCATTGGTTGAGCGTTCTTTGGCAGCGCGGGACAGCCGCTCAGTGTAGTAGCTGACCTGCGTCTTGAGAGTGTTGATATGGGAAATGATTTCTTTAGCTTTCAACACATCCTGTGGCTGGTACCGCATAGAAAGTGGAGCAGGTTCCCCGGCACTGAAACGAGACAGATAATTAAAAACAAAACAACAGCACATTCTCCAATTCCCCATTTGTTATCACTTGTTCAGCTGCACAAGCTGTGATCAAGTGGACTATTCTGCAAATGAGATGGCGTGATATACAAGCACACACAGAAAACGTACACAAATGCCAAGTGCACATAATTGGATGGAGTGGGAGAGCAGTTTTGTGCAAATACATCATCTTCGAAAACACAAATGTTGGTGCAAACAAGAAAGATCCTTCACATTTAATGGAAGTGAAGCAAAGGACTCGACGCTGACCGATCATAAACAAGATGAAACACCACCACATATGAAAATGACTGGAAAACAACCCTGAAACTCACCCTTCACCCTCATATGAACTGATCGGAAAGCAAACAACATAAAATCAACTGATTACAGTTCGCAGTCATGAGATAAATGTGAAATAATATTTTAATATATAAAAAAGTTCAGCCCTATGGAACATTATTTCTGCAACATAATACATTTTTTTTT